CAGAGATGATACAGACTTACCTTGCTTTGGGCAGGTTTAAGTGTTCTAAATTTTGAATGTCCATTTGTGTATAGGGACTATATAAATGAACATTCCATACCACAGAAATACATTTACCAACTTGTAGTTAAGCACATTGGAAACAGGGGAAGATAAATTGACCCACTGTGTTAAGACTGCTTAACAAGGCACTTCAGTGCTGGTTAAATGAAACTTGTGGAGTAGTATTTAAAACAGCTAGAAAATAGCGCCTTTTTTTTTTAATCTAGATTAGCAAAATCTGTCTTAATATCTCATATAAAATAATCTGACACTTTTCTCTGAGCCATTTCTACTATGTTAAAATGACAAAGGCAGTATTTCAGGTATGAGAACTATAATTTTTTTCTATTGTCATGGTAGGAATACTAAGTTTTAATGATGCTGCACATTGAGTGGGTTATCTTCTAATATATATCTGAAGTGATGCCTGGATCTCCTCTTGTCCTATCACTTCTTACATATATCTGAAAATCACTTCTCTGCCTCCCATTTGTCCACAGTCAGCACATGGATGAACCTTCAGGTGTTGCTGTCTTGCTATAGAGCTTAGCAAAGTCTTTGTGTTGTGGAAGTAATTTTTGCTAAGTGTAATCATTGAACTAAGTACTGAATTTGTCAAACAGTGTCGCAAACAGCTGTAGCAGCTCATGTGCCTTTCTACATCTGTCCTCTCTACACTCAACCCTCACAACCCACAGAGATTTGCAGTGATCCTGTGTCTTCCAGTCCAAGCAACACCAAGGAATTGCAGCTCTGTCAGAAAAGCAACACCGCTTGAGAACTGGAGTTAGCATAAGGTGTTTAAGTTACACTTTTACGAGAGGCATGGGATTACTAATACACATATTAACTGACTAGACTGGTAAGCAAAATGTTGTACAATGTGTTTTATTTTCCACTTCATTTTTTGATTCTTCATTGTTTCGCGATGTGGTCAGGTGGATGTTACCAGCCAGGGTGGCCGCCATACAGTTTGTATATTCCTATCACAGTATACAGCAGTCTCTAGGCTAGCAAGTGCTGCAGGGAAGGCAGAGTCATGTAACAAATACTTTTCTTTGGTCATTTACTTGGGACAGCTCTGCTTCTACAGTCTCAGTAAACAAATCTAAGGGAAGGAAAGAGCAAGATAAAAAAAATTAATGTAGTAAAAATTCAGTTTTCATGCAGGTTCTTTAGAATTTTTTGAATTTCCTCTGGGTTTAATTCTAGGACATTGTTGGGCTTGGTTTAAAGTATTTGCTCAGCTTTTTAAGTTTGTTAAATGATTTCATTGTCATTGCTCCAATTTAAAGAGATCCTGTAGGGTCTGTTTATGACCTTCTGTAGTACTGTCAAGAACAATAGTCAAGAAAAATCCAAACAAAACAAAAAACCAAACCAAACCAAAATGGAAAAAAAAAAATCCAAACCCAAACCACAACAAAAAACCCTGATCAACCCCTAGGAAAAAAAAAAATCACCATGGCAAAATGAAGAGCATCACAGTCTTTTTGGAAGGCAGCTGAAAAATGACAAACTATACAAGAACTGATTAGTATCAGCAACGAAAGCTGCTCCTTGTTCCTTTGAGAACATATTCCAGCTTGGAGCATTACACACTTGCTTATAGTTTGGTGCTGTCTAATCATTACTATTAATTTGCTATCCTTACCCAGGACAGGTAAGTATCACATATCTACTACTGCAGGGGGATTTGTGTTATTGAGAATTATCTGTACATAGTGTACCTATCTTGCCAATCTTTAAATATTGATCAAGAAGGTTTATATCAAACCTCATGCTTTTCTGTATGCTTTCATCTTCCTGTGGGCCTTTTGTGTGTTATTGCTGGATACCCTCAGCCAAGTGCATGGTATTTTACTTACTGCACTACATCAGAAAATAGCTTGTCTAGTCCAGTAGTGAAAGGTTTAAATTCTCAAGTCACTGGAGAGTTGTTTTGTAATCAAGCCAACTTTTTTGCATTTAGAAGAGAAGTTTGCAGAGAGAGCCCTAGATTTGAGTTAGTGATCTTCTCCCTTATGAGACTATGTAGGAAGCAGGTTTTTAGCCAGTCTGATGTTAGCCTGGGCCACTACAATCCAGTTTTGTGTCCACAAAAGACTAAAGATATAATGCCTCTATTACACATTTTCCAAATGTTTTGTTGTGCCAAAACAAGGCAAAACTTGCAACAAGGGTATCACTGTCAGGTAATAGTACGGAAAAGCAAGTTTTTTTCGTATATGTGATCCTCCTTTCCCTTCAAGCTTCTTTTCCTCAATCATTTGAGGAAAAGCATCTTTTTTTTTTATGTTTTTGTGAGAGATACACACAAGTGATCAATCACTGAAAACACTGTGTCACAGTTATGCCTTCTACATCTAAACCAGCTCTACATGTCTAAGTGATCAGCCCCTTACAGCTCTGAGCTACACCTTGCCCCCTCCACTGTCGCTACCCTTCCCCAGCTCTCCTGGGACGTTCAGGCAGTTGCATTTTCAGATCTGGAGTCTGGATGTCAGTCTGAAATCCTTGTACATCCTGAAGAATCAGGCAAAAGACATGAGATGTGTAACAGTGTCAGGAAGTTTACCCTTGAGTTGAATGCCATACACAGACCCCTGCTCACTTGGACAAAGGACTGGTATTTGAGGCCTTCTCATTTTAATTCTCCTGAATTGATCTCAGGCTGGTGATTTCAACTTTGTGCCTCTGCCTTTACCTCTTCTGAGACTTCCATAAGTGCTAAGCATTGGTAAGTTACAGAACTCTCACTAATTAACAACAATTACAATATATTTGTACAACCTTTTGCAAAATGTATTTTATACAACAAAGAGGGCTTGCTAACCACAGCACAAAAGCACTGTAGTATATCCTATACTGGTTCCCTTGCTTAGTTGGCTGGTTTCTTTCATTTGGAACTAGCCTGGACTTGCTGTTTTCTACATTGCACCCCTTCCAGTATCACTAACTCTGCAAGTTGTATTCTAACCAAGCTCATTATATTGATGTTTGTTGCAAAGTCATTCCTATTTGAGTTGCCAAAGTCATTCCCTTTATGCAGGTGGATATTGAACTAAAGAGATAGCATGTTTTCTTTTGGGAAGATTTGTTTAATTCAGAACTCCCTAGAAAGGTGTTTGAAGACAACATACATGAACATACCAATGTGATACATTTGTTCCATGTACATTAGGTATTCATGAAGCAACTGTGTGCTTTATTTTAAAATGAGTTTGATAGATGGCTGTGTCAATACTTGTGTCCAGGTTATTTAAAAGTCAAGTAAAACTTGAATTTTTAGGGCATTGCATGGTTGCCTGTGTGTCTTATTTACATTCCACTAAGGAGCAAAGCCTTCAGAAACACAGATTCATTTGACACCACCATCTGGTAAAAACAGGTGTAGTACCAATTAAAATCCACTTGAGGATACAGCTTCTCCAGATTAAGTACTTTATCTTGTAGCAGGAAGTTGTCAGTGTAAGCTTTGCATTTCCAGTGCACATCTATACCAGTTTCCTTTCTCACCTAAGAATCACCAGAGAGCAACCAGCAGACTATGTAAGCTGTCAAAGCAAACACAGATACAGAGCCAGTGTGGCAGACACTCTCTCCTTAAAGTGTCTGGTTTTATTCCTGTACTTGTTCTCCTGAGTAAGAACTGTGGTGTGTTGACCTTGGCAGGACACCAGGTGCCCAAGCTGCTCTATCACTCCCCTCCTTAACAGGATGGGCAAAGGAATTAGATGGAAAAAATCCTTGTGGGTCAAGATAAAGGAGTTCAGTAAAGCAGAAGCAAAAGCAAAAAATAACCGAACTCCAAAGATTTACTTTTTCTACTTCCCAGGAGCACATGGTGTCCACCCAGTTCCTGCAAAGTAGGGCTTCAGTGCATGTAGTAAGTTGTTCCAGAATATGAACACCTTATCCTTTCTCTTCAGTTTATATTGCTGAACAGATTCTTATACTCTGAATTTTTTTAGGGGTGCAATTCAGTTAGCCAATCATACAAAGTAAAAGGCAGTTCTAATGTTTAACATCGTACTTCACATTTACCAGCATTATTTATCTGTGACCCCTGCAAGCACCTATTACTTCATGTAGCTCACTTTTACCTTGTTCTACCCCACTATAACCCCTGTATTACATATTAAAGCTTGGGGTTCTACATCTTTTTTAGCTGAAAGGAAGCCTACCCTGAGGCTGATACCAATCAAGTATCTAACCCTGGGGTTATGTACCAGTCATCAAATCCTGTCACTAGCTGTTGCTCATGAGATTTTTTAAGTTTTAAAATGCTACTCCTCTTGGTCTTATACTTCAAGAACAAAGGCCCATGATCAGAACTCCTGAACAGATGGTATCTTCAGGGAATGTAATCCCTAATAAAAACCCTAAACTTTCAAGTACATCCCATAATTACAAGCTGGATCTCTTAAAAATTAATTACTCTTGTCTAAACCTCCTTCTCTCTGACAAACCAAAAACAACCTTGCACTTAGAATTAGTAACATGCTTACATTCGGCACTGAAAAATCACAGTGCAAGATACACAATTTAAGCATTTGTTCTTCTGATAAACCATGTTAAGTCTTCCTAGAAAAATAAGCAGCAATCCCAATTATCTCGAGAGTATTTCACTCCAAGTTATGCTGAAGTACCACATGATGTAGCTGGTCAAGGTGATAATAAACCAAGCTTGTCATTCTCCATGCTGGATAAACACCTTTCCTGCTATTTTTAAACCCAGGTTTGCTGAATTTTTACTTTTTTAATTTCTATTTTTGCTCACAATACAAATCTTAGCCAACCCTATCTCCAAATACTGCAGGAGACCATGGTTTAAATCATCACATCCCAACTCATTCCTAGGCTTAGTTTCATAAAGAGATTGTTGGTATCCCAACAATAACACAAAGAAGTCTGAACTCTGAAACAGAAGCACTAAAACTTGGAAAAGACAGAAATTCTGAGAAGAGAAACATAAATCTTTATTTTTTTGTCTATATAAACATTTCCAGACACTGACACAATGCAGTTAAATGCACTTTGTATTACTACATGGAGGCTTAGTAGTCCATCTTTTAAACAGTTTGTTTGTTTCTTAGGCAGGAGTGTTTCAATAGATGGGCATTGCTCTCAGGCTGGTTCTAGCAATTCTTCCTAAGGAAAAAATAAACACACAATGTGAGACATATGTAGCACACAGCTCCTTCCAGTAACATCCTCTAAATCTAAATCCCCAACACTAATACAGTATTACAAAGATGAGCTTCCCCTCATCCCGTGGGCAAAAAGGTAAAATTTGCAAATCTAATTTTTAGGAAGCCTGTCTGTAAGAGAGGTTTTTTTGCCCACCGAAGCAAGAATTCAGATGATAACTACAGGCTGGTGGCAGTAATAACACTTTCTGGCTAGTGGGAATCAACAGAAATTTCTGCAGTACTAACTTGTGCACATGACTATGCATTAGAAAACACTCTGGGAGCAGTAAGCCAATAATACACGATTTAATAATTTTATGTTGGAAAACAAGCATCAGCCCTGTTACTGGACACTTTACTACTAATGGATTACACAAACTTTTCTCTTCCCAGAGAGAGATTCATCCACAGAGTGCCCACCTTACCCACAGTGCCTGGGGTGCAGCATGTGTGGATGGATTTCACAGGCTCCCTTCCTACCAGCAGCAGGCGTAAAGGATTCATTGCATCTGTGTTGCTCAAGCAGATTCTCACATTTCGTTGATGAAACTTTCAGATGTTATTACTTTCAAGAGCATTATGGCCACCCTGGAGGAGTTTCATCACTTCACTGAAGATTAGTTGTATTTTCTCCTGAAAAAAACCCAACCCAAACAAAATCTACAGTGATGTAGTACAGAATCATTCTTACACCACATTTCCAGTATTGACCTATAAGTTCCTGGCTTCAGAGACTTGGATTACATGTCACACCCTTGGGTATGTAGGTTACACAAAAAAAAGACTTGATAGTGCATGTGATTTTTACTAATACCTTGTCTGTACTAATGAAATTTGGGCTGACTTGCGCTACTCAGCTTTTCAGTAGTGTTGGCTTTTCCAAGACTTTACAGTGAAGCAGTATCTGGCATATTCAAAGCTTTCTTTCATATTCTGCCAGTCTTTTTAACATTTTCAACCTTTATGTTCTGAAATGCTCCACAATATCACACTCCTAAAAGCAAACATGAGAAAGCAAGTCCTTGTCTTGAACACACTGGCAGCCACATACTGATTTAACAAAGCCACCCACACCAAAATTTTTATTCTGTAGCTTCCACTTTGCTCTTTTTGATAAGAATATAGCCATCAGGCAGATCTCACTCTCACTGTTTAAGTTCTGATTTCTGCTCTAAAGTCATTGTGCCTCCTTCTCAGCAGAAAGCCTGCTTTATTTTAACAGCAAGCTACAGGACAGAGTTGCACAAGGAATTATTGCTAATCACAGCTCTGCAATCAGCACTTGGCAGCTTCTTCCCACGTGCCTTTCTCAAGCTCAGAGGCCTTCACCACACAGAGAGATCCCAAACTTCCAGCAAAACACACCAGGAACCTGTAAGAAGCATTCCTAGCATTAAACGTTCTGTCAGGAATTTGACAGTATCCAAGAACACTTTACGCTTTCAAAACGGCATCAAGGAAAGCCCAGCAAAAGAATACACAACATATTATTCAATACTGAATAATAGACCCACAAACATACAGAAACAAAACACAATTTTTTCTATTTAAGAAGATTTAATCTTTTCTGTGCATGAGTATTAAGCTGTAAATGTCTTTTTACAGTAGAAAATCTAGAAGCCACTGCTAGAAGCCTGGAAAGTTATGTACTAATTACTTGCAGATGTAATGACAGACACGAGAGCTAAACAATGCTAAAAGTGGCCATTATAGTTTTAATTTTTCCTCTTTTAATAACTGTCAGATTCTCCACTTTAAAAGGCTGCAGAATAAAATCTACTACATGGCTACTCAACCATACTATTCCTACATGTTGTTTGGGGTTTTTTGTTCTTGCAAAAACAGAAAGGAGGAAGGTACATAACCAGCTCCCTAAACCAGTTTGAGCAAGAATTCCTGTTTGCCTTTTTTGACACCACATCCATCCTGGACAGGAATGAATAGGCAACACAAAGGCCAAAACTTCCATACGGGAACTCTTTACTCCTAAAATTAAGTTCACAGTTTATGAAAAAGAGAAATTAATCAGCTGAAAAATATTTCAAAATTCGCAATTAAGTAATATTATATACAGAGCAAACACTTAATAGAGAAAGCCAAGAATACCATGATCCTGGGACACCTTTTGGTCATGGTGGTGCACGCTCCGGCCACTGACTAACTTCCATTGCTTTCATCTGGGAAAAAAAAAAGGGAGAAGACATACTTTGAAGAGCGACAGAGACACACGAACAGTACAAGGAGACTAAAAGGACGTACTAGAGGTAAGTGCCCGATTTCGAAGACAAGCAGCGCCAATAACTACAGCCTCACACCGCTGCTCCCTCAGCAGCCGCGGACGCCGTGCCGCTCCCGGCGTGCCTCCTGCGGGGCGAACCATCCCTCCCGAAAAGGAGGGGGCACGCCGTGCGCCACCTCCACCTCTTCCCGCAGCGCAGCGGCCGCGTACTGACTCTGCCGCAGACGCGAGGCTACAGATTCGGCCATCCACGGAGAAGGAGTTCTGAGCAGGCGACACCGCCCTGGAAAGGCGCCGAGGTGCAGACCAGCATCGGCTCTCCCCACTGTCTTACCGCGGCGATGGAGGCGCCTCCGAGAGAGAGGCGATGTCGCATCCCGCTGTGTGCGCATGCGCAGTGCCGCGCCCGCCGAGGCGTGTGGGGGCTGCGGAGGGGAAGTTGTTGGTGCTTCCTGTTCCTTGTGGCGGCTCCCGGTGTTCCTGGGGCTTTTGTGGGGCTCCTTGTGTCCCCGGGGCCTTTGTGGGGGCTCTCTGTGTTCCCTATGCCCTCCCGGCGGGCAAGTTCCCGGGGTTCCGTTTGTCTTTACGGGGGCAGATCACGGTGAGGTGACTGCACGTAACACCCCATCCCGTGCACGGCTCGCTCATGGTTGCCGTGCTTTCAGGTAAAATTGTCTGTCCCCAGGCTGAACTCCCCTCGCGTTTTGTAAACATAACCAGTGCCCTCAGATGATATACAGTAGAAGTTGCTTAATAAAGAAAAGGGCTGCGTTTGAAGAATTGCGCAAGGTTACATCACAGAAATAAACATGCATTAGGTGGGCCGAGGATGTTTTGCTGTGTGGAAGCTGTGACCTTTTACCCTTCTGTGTGCTTGATTGGCGGAAACCTCCACTTTGCTCCCTTGCAGAATAAGTAATGTTTCTTTCCTAAACTTACCTCTTATTAGTCTGTTCAGAGAGCCAAAATGTGCCTCATCCATCCCAGGAGTGTCCTGCTGTTTGCTCCATCGGGGGCACATGGAGAGAGGAACTGGTCTTGGTGCACACTGCAAATTGAGACAGCCCTCGATATTAAGGCTTGAATGCTAGCAAAAGCTCTGCCAGAGTGCATATTTTCCACATTTCACACATTTGAAATCCTGTGAGAAGGGGGAATCAGAGCAGGCAGGTACATAGGAGGATAAACTGGCAGCGTGTCCAGGACAGAGCAGGATGAGGCTGGTGTCAGCTATAGGGAAACCTGTACAGCTCTCCTACCTGCCTTGCTCTGATGGATTAAGCTATCATCTAACAAAAAATTCTACAACACTACTGATTCCCACACTTATAAATCCCACCGTTCACAATTTTCTGTGGGTGAAACACAAGACCTAAGACGCAAGTTGGAATGTCTGTGCGGTTCACATCTGTGTACCTGCTTCTTTGCTTGTGGAGTGGTCAACATTTTCTTGCACTCGATGGAGTTTCATGTTCTTTGCTGGAATCCACCCTGCTCTGCTTCTTGGCGCTGCTGTGGTTTGCTTGCTTCTTTTGGCTCCTCCTTACCTGGGAATATCAGAGGAAGTAGTTACACAGTGTCCAAAAGGCAGAGTTGCCAAGTCACTTCTGCAGGACTGCCTGAAGTGTGTTCTGCAGGTGTGTGTTCGCCTTAGCTAAATTACAAGAGGTTATGAGAAGGCTGCTTAATGCCCAGGCAAAGAGACATGATTCATTGCAGCCAAGACAGTTAGGAGGAATAAAGATAAATAAAAGGAAAAGTTAAGGGGCAAGCAGATGTCATCACTTAGGGCTTCTGGGAAAGCCTTCGTACTTGCAGGGGCGCAACATTAGTTTGCTTTACAGAAATTAGCTTTTGCATCCTTACGCTTAGACATGTCTAAGCGTATGTTAGTGCTCTGTTTATAGCTCAAACTAAAGTAACATTAACATTAATTTGAAACAGATTGACCTCTAATAGCTTTGGCTTGTCATTTGAGTTCTGTTTTGCACATGAGGAAGATGCACAATTTTCTTAGGCATTGCCTCAGGCCAAACTTATGCATGCATAAAGGTCGGAACTTTGAGTAAAGTGATACATGTCATTCACAAGTAGTGGTCTTGGAGGGACACAGATGAGACTGTAGGTGACAGTCAAGCTATTAAATCAGTGGGGATCTGTTACTCTGTGTTGCTGAAACAGTCAAGTGTTGATTTGCTGCTCAGGGACAGCTGTCTGGACAGAAGTTTAAGTCCGATATAAGTAGGTTTTGATTATCTAAGTAAACAGTATAGTGAGGAAAAAGCTCTAAATGTCTGTGACATTTATTATTTTTGCCTGGGGATACAGGAGAACTTGATTAGCTAAGGGTTGCATCTATAGAACACTAACTGACTGTATGAACAATATAGTCACTTCAAGTGAACCCAGAAATTGTTACTGAGTCACAGAGTCACAGAATGGTCTGCGTTGGAAGGGACCTGCTACTCCAAACTCTGTGGCATTGGCAAGGGCATCTTTCATAGACCGGGCTGCGCAAACACACCCCACCACCCTGGCTTTGAAGACTTCCAGTAATGGGGACATCCACAGAGCTTCCCTGGGCAATCTGACTCTATCTTCAGAGTAAAATTTGTTCCTTATGTCCAATTCTAATGTCTAAATTTCTCCTCTTTTAGTTTCTGACCATTGTTCATTGTTCTGTCACTGCAGGCAGTGGTGAAAAGCCTGTCTATATCTTTCTTACAAGCTCCCTTTAAGTATCAAAAGGCTGCTTTAAAGTCTTAACAGTGATCAAACAGTGATCAAAGCTTTTCAGATCATAAACAGGTTAGGGACATTGATCACACATCCTGTTTTTCTTTTCTTACTGAACAACTTTGAAGACAGTAAAAATAATCAGTGGCACAATTTACAAAAGACAGGAGATACTACTGCACAGCTGGATTTATTTACTTTTTCAAACTGATTCATTTAGTCCTATTAGGGTTAGAATTTTCTGGAAAGTGGCAACATAATTCAAATTGGAATGACTTGATGTGCTTCTCTTCTAGATGATCACAGTGAATCTGAATTCCTAATCTCTGAGTCTGTGATCATTTTATTTGTTACAAGTATTCCCCCAAACCCAGGACATGCAAGATAGAAGACATAACTAACAATAATTCTTAGTTACCTAGCAGATAAGAAAAACCTCTTGAGGTGGAAACAGAAACCACATTTAAATATGTGGGAGGTTTAACAGAAGGTTAAAGCGTGAGTCCTGCTTTGCCAGGTCAGGACACTTCTGTCCCAGCAGTTGGCCCTGTTGTTCAGATTATTTATTGCACATTTTGCATGGTTAGCAGCTTGAATATCTGCTCTGGTACAAAGCCTCGTTGTAGCTTTGTGGCCTCTTATGATGAATTTGAGTTAAACCACTGTCCAGTACCCATGCAGTGGTCGATGTATTCCAATTTGTCAACACAGCCACAAGGCACAAGACGACAACTTTGACTCTACAGTGATTAGAAAAGAAAAGCTGAATCTACCTAGTGAAAGGCATGAGACACTCAGGTTTTTGTCTTTGAAGTTAATGCTAAGGTACTACTTTCTCTTTTGTTTCCTAAGCATGTGATCAATTATTTAATCACTGGAATTATTTCAGTGTCAATTGGCAATATTTTTGAAGCCAAATTATAAAAGGGTTAAAGAATATTAATTTCTTGAAGGTTTCCTGAAAAGTCATCATTTGGCTGGCTGAAAGTGCTTCAGTCAGTGTGCTTGTCTGTGACTACTTGTCATCCTGCCAAATGGAGAAAGCATGGGAGGAAGCAATGATAATGACTACATTTTCTAGTGTATTCATTCTTTTGCACAAATTTATTTTCAATCTGTTTAACCAACTTGCAAATGGCACTGCGGACTTCCAGCAGCAAGGTACCTGCGTCTCTGAGTACGTGTGGACAGCATTTGTGTTTTCAAGATCTGCTGAGCTGCTTCAAACCCAGCACTTAAGTGAGTCTGCTGTTAACAGCTACATAAGCTGAGATCTTTCCTTTCTGTTAAAATATTCTTAAGCACTTCCTGAGCATGCACAAAAGGCCTATTCTTATTACTGATGTGTTTTGTCAGACCTGAGAATATTTCTGACAAGTTAGTACTGAAAGAGCCCATTAGGCTTTAGATGACATTAACTTCAGTTTTAAAAAGTACTGCATATCATAAATGATCTCTTCATTCACTCTTACTTATTTTCAAAGTAGAATTCAACAGCTGGCAACTGACATAGTCAGAAGGGGGCTCCCTGCACCACCATGCCCCAGGAAATATAATGTCAAACTAACTCTTTTATAAATTTATTACTGTGTGCAAGGGAGAGTGAATATTCAGTCTTACTCTACAAGTGGAGTAAGCACAGTTCTGGCTCCTCATCCTTTTCAGTAGTCATTGATTTCTTGTGAACGCTAATAAGCAGTCAAAATCTGAATCTGCAATAAACATCTTGTTTTGTTCCACTCTGTCTGGGTGTGTCCTTAGTTTTCCTGAGTGAATTCCAACACTAACTTGTAAGGCTTAAATTCCCCATTGTGCTTTCTTCAGCAAGAAAACCAGTTCCTGCCCTTCCTGCCTTGTGGCCTCATTTCAGTTCCCAACATCAATTAACTGCTCCATGAGTTTTGTCAGTGGTGGTATTTGTGGCAGCGTGCCACAAAACTGGTCACTGAAACGGTCAGAGTCCCAAAAACATGCAATTTGCCTTCAGGCACACTAAAATGTGCAGTAGAAGATAATAAAATTAATAAAAATAGTTCAATATAGCCTGAGAAGAGTCAAGAAAGGTTAAACATATGTACTTTAGTTTGAGATGTATGTTGCAGAGAAAGCTTGCAGATCCACCTATTCTTTGCTTCCTTTTCTTCATAAAGATTAAGGGGCCATCATGTGCACAATATTTTAGTGGTGTTACAGGAAATCCTAACACAACACAGTAGACTATTTGGAGGGAGCATCGTTGTAAAAACTGAAATATCTCTAAAGTGATTTTTGAGCAGCAAGGCATTAGTGTGTTCCTATTGGGCTGTCTTGAGGCACTTGCAAAATCAGACTTTCTGCATGCCCTTGCTGAACTCCCACCGAAATTGCAGGGTATGATTTCCTTGGATTTTTATCCGCGTTAATTCTCGGCGTCTCGGTTTCCTGCAGCCCAGCAGAGGTCAGTGTAATGCCGAGAGTGGCGAGCAGTACGGC